TTAAAAATGCTATTCTAGCCGAACATTAAATCACCCCCTTTCGAAACACAACTCTTCGATCTTTTCAGCGCTTTTTGGAGAGTAGGTCTAGAATTCCACTTTGCCACGGGACAATCAATTCTCGGCAATTCGTTTACTGATTTCGATCGTAAGTCAGTAAAGATGCAATTGCCAGGCGATCAAATCCCACCATCAGCTTGCTTATAAGCAGTTCTCAAAAGCAAGAACCATCAATGGCCAATGGTCAGCGGATGGTTGCTGTTAGCTGTTACTACCCTCAGACTACTTCCCAAGTCTTCTGCTTTTCATGAAGAGAGAATATGGAGAGGAATTTGATTTTTGATGTTTTTGCAGAAAAAAATACGCAAAAAAATCACTCCTGAACAACATTTACTACTGCAATTAACTCAATGAATTAATTTTAAATACAGAAATGCACCAGTTTGCTGATCAGTAGTAATCCGAGTGACATTTATGGTAGAAAAGAAGATAGCCCTGCGAGGAGAGGACATTTTCAACTGGTGCTTTCGAAATCGTCTGATCATCGCACTGAAACCACTGATTGTGTTGATGTCGAATGTAGCACGTGTAATGACCACTTTCCATTGTACCCGTATGATTCACCACTGCAAACAGTTCATATCTGAAAAAGCAATCATGAATTTCTGGCTGTTTAAGGAACGTGAAAAAAAACCTCTTTCATCTCTACTGTTAGGAAGAGGGTTGATCAAGTGGCCACGATGACGGGTAACGGATGGGCAAAACGAATAATCGATTTTTACCGCAAAATACCAAAAGCAAAATACCATTTTTTTAATTCATTTTTGTACTTTTTCTATCATCTTGGTCTCAAAAGTGAGCGGTTAGACTGCAACAAAAAACAAAGAAATCCTCTAGAATAATTCAAAAAAAAAAAAATCCATACTTGTTTCGGTTTCTGGTTAACAAATCGCCGGCAATACTCGTTTTTCTATCAGTACCATCAGCAGCTAGGCGTTCCCGGAAAGCAGTCGTGAATGGTGTCATATCTATGATTTGTGGATATTTCACTTTGATATCCATTTTTTTGCGATAACTTAGACTATGCTCAAATCGTTTCAGGTGGAAGCAAGCAACCATTGGTAGCGTGTTCAGTGTAAACTGTTTCGTCGATTCTTCGGATGTTTCACAGCGTGCACATTTTGTTTCGCCCAAATGTTCCGGTTTGATGTATCTGAAGAGAATTTCAAAAAATTTCACATTCAACTTTTTGTTAAATCGCAGCTCAGTTATAAATTTTAGGTGAATCCAAGCATATAACTAAACTGAGGAAAAGAAATCAGTGGGGATTTTTCTAGTAAAACGGCGTGTTAACGGGAAAAAACTCAGGGTTGAACACTTCAACCGCTATTGGTTATAAGGAATTGTAGCGTATAAGTGTATATCATTTCGAGTCGCAGTGAAAATAACTTTTCGAAGGGTCGAGAATGCGCAAAAATGCAAATTCTAAGTTCTCCTCCCCTCCCCCCCTCTCCTCCACTCCCTCCTACCTGCTACTTCCTCATCCCTCAGCATTTCGTTTCATAAAAGATGTACAATTACTTCAAAATCGGAC